ATAGCAATTTTACAGTTTTATTTTAGGGAGGATGAGAAATTAATTTAAATAAGAAATGAGATAAATTTTGAAAAGAAAAAATAGAGTTTATAAATTACCTGAACTCGAAAGCAGTCGGGCTCAGTCTAGCATTAGCTTATCGTCGAACTCGATGTGACACGCATCAATTGCTCATAAGCAGACTTGAAAGGTGTCTTTTGACTAATAAACCATTAAGAATATAGATTCCTACATCTATAAATAGCCCACACGAGCATCAATATATTTGTGTAATTTGTTATTTGTGTTTTTCATTCATTAGAGTTTCATACTAAAGTACTGTTTATTGTTCGTTGAGACTTATGTATTTGCAATACAATTATATTCAAATCATCTTAAGAGAACATTTTTGTATTATTCACATATCACCTGACAACACTTTATTTTTCTGAATCAAGATCTTATGCATTCAGTTCTTACTTTTAAATTCAATTGTTCGAATAGTTTTTCCGAATTCCATTTATATGTTAGCAATTCAATTTGTGTGAGTCGTCCAGGAAATGATATGCCCTCAAAGAAAGTTAAGAATACATATGAAAATAAGATTAAAAATGATAATTCCAACAAAAAATTATAAACAAACACAATTCCAACTTTAATATGCCAACTGGAAAATAAAAATTGTTGGATAAACAAACAAACAAACAAACAAACAATGCCTAAAAAATCCCAACACTAACTCTGTCAAAGAAACACCAAAAACACAATAATCACATAAAATACCTCCACACACCACACAGGCTTCCTTCTCCAATGCAAAGAAACAGCAATCAACCAACCAGAAATAAAAATTAAAAAAAAAAGTTAAAAATAAAAATAAATCACATTTTTCACAAATGGCTCCAAAAATCTCACACAACAATTTCTTGATTTTCTTGCTCTTCTTCTTGCTTTGGCTCCTTCACGCCAATATCCTCCACAGATTCCCCGCCTCGCTCAAACATCTCATGACTTTCCAAAACACGGAACCTCTCCTTATTCTCCCCTCTCAAGAGCTCCATCACCTCGAGCATAATGGGCCTCTTCTCGGGCTGGCTGTGTGCGCACACAAGCCCGATCAAAACAACCCTCTTCAATTCTTCCTCCGAATACATCCCACTCAGCTTTGGGTCCGCCAGCTCATCAAACTTCCTCTCGCGGGCCAACGGCAGGGCCCATTCGGTGATGGGCCGCCTGTGAGAAGAAGGGCCCAACTTCTCTAGGGGCTTGCGGCCCGTAACAAGCTCGAGCAAGAGTATTCCAAAACTGTAGACATCGCAAGCCTCGGAGGCCTTGCCAAGCATTGCGTACTCAGGAGCGAGGTAGCCAAGTGTGCCTTTGATATTGGTGGTCACGTGAGTTGCGCCATCTGGCACAAGCCTTGCGAACCCAAAATCGGCCACTTGGGCTTTGAAATCTGAGTCGAGGAGGATGTTGCTGGCCTTGATGTCTCGGTGGATGATGTGAGGGGTTGCATGGTGGTGTAGGTAGCTGAGAAGGCGAAGAATTTTTATTTACATTTTTTTTTTATTTTTTGAAAAAAGGAAGAGTAGTAAAAAGAAAAAGGAAAAAGAAAAGATCCATCAAATTTGGAAGAACACAGGGAGAAAAGATACAACTTTTATTCCAACTTCTAATTTGTTTCAGAAATAGCATCTCATGACTTTATATACTAGAACTTTCAATCTTTATACAGTTTCGTTATAGTAATTAACGACCATTCTTCTAAATGAACCTCATGGTCAGTTGTGTAATCATCCCTTGGAAAAGAGTCTCTTTCAGAATCACTAACTACCCCCCTAAAATAACATTTCTACTTTAAGTAGCACCTAATAATACAGGGACTGTATCTAGTGGTTTGCATATCAATCACAAACTTTTTATGTTATAATTTAGGAATTTACTATGAAAACTTTACTTCACTTTCCTATAACGAACTAAACTGAAAGGGAATTTTTGTAACTATTGGTATCCTAAGAACTTACGCAATGCCCTCGGCAGCCCCAATAGCAATTTCCAGCCTTCTGGCCCAGTCGAGATGACACTCGGCCGAATGCTGCCCGTGAAGATGAGAGGTTAAGCTCAGATTAGTCATGTAATCATAGACAATAAGACGTTCTTGACCTTCCGAACAATAGCCACGTAAAGTTAGTAGATTCTTATGCCGCACACGAGCAAGAATCTCGACTTCAACAGAAAACTCCACCTCTGCTTTGTTACTCCATGATTTTAGCCTTTTTACTGCTATCTGTTGAAGTGTGAGTAAGAAAAGAATTGAGTAATGGAAATGAACCCATCTTGCCCGGTAAGGAGATGGAAGAGAAATTTAAAAGTTTTAAAGAACCGATGTTTGGGTAATGATAGTAAATGAGAAGGGATAGGATAAATTGTGATAAAAAAAAAATTACAATGATATTTTGCTTAAATTCAAATGATTACTGGATTTCAATTTTTTATCGTCATAACTGGTAGAACAAAGTTAATCGGACATAGTAAACAGATGCGTAGCTACCTAGCTCGGATTAATTCTTGCGCTTACTATTATGCTGAAATCATGAATGTCGTGTAAAAGAACTTCAAACTTGAAATAATAGTAATGTTTTAACTACTCCATTATATCGAACTTGATCTCCTCCTAACAAAATCTTACTGTGCAAGTCAGAACAGCACAATAATAGACATAAAACTAGAATAGATCTTTTTGTAATTATTATTCTTTTTTACTATCTTGAAACAAAGATGCAAAACAGAAGACAAAAACCAAAGCTCCATTTACTGAATTTTGTGGGCTGAGATAATCATCCAAATGGCTATACTGATTACTGAATAATAATCATTATCAATTTAAAAGTTAAAAATCAATCAATGGAGGTCCAAACTATTAGCCACAACCAATCAGATTCATGATCCCTCACAGACTTAGAACCGCATCATTACAGTTCAACACGTCCCATTCACTAAAGCAGTACCACTTCACAACACCAATTATTGGTCGTGTTCATATATAACACAGAAAATTACTTAAGAATTTGCTAAAACAAGACAACTCAATATTGCAGGACAAAAACTTATCGATTTCCTTTAAAACAGAGAGAGATTGGATTATCTTACTTGAGAACCATCCCAGAGCTGGCCCCAGTAAACACTTCCAAACCCACCTTCTCCAAGCTTGTTATCATAGTTGAAATTATTTGTAGCCAATTGCAATTCTTTCAGAGAGAAAATCCTCCAAGTTGTCTCCTTTTTCCCTTGTTTTTTCCTGTAGAAGGTTAAAAAAAAACTCACTCTATCCATCTTCAACAGAAAACATACATAACAAACTCCATATCCATTTTGAACTAGCTTTAATGATAGAGAAACACAGCCAGAACAAAAAGGAAAGAGAGAGAGAGAGGAAGAAAAAGCAAAATAAGAACAAAGATTTCAAATATCTTATCTATCTACATTTAACACAAACACTGACACACAAACTAATGCATAAGTATTAAATACACAAATCCAACTGTAAAAAACAAACAGAAATTAGCATTTGACCAATTGAAACAACAAAGGAAATGTACTTGCCGTAGAAAGTATTTTCAAGAAATCCAAATACCAAACCAACAGAAACTAGCATTTTGACCAAACAACAAGCAAAATAACATACCGATCTGAACCCTTCACACAACAAAACATTGCGTCAAAACCCACAAAATCTTTTCAACACCACACACGAAGGAAAATCCCTTCTTTCTCCAATTTTCAAACAGTACTTATTTATTTATTTTTCCTCAGCTGCAGCCACCCTCAAAATCCCACCATCTTCATCACTACAAAGCCCATCACTTGAAACTAGCCCTTTTTTTCTTCTTGAAGCTAAAAGCAGTTTTGAAGGATTCAGACAAGGGTTGGAAAAGAAATTTGAACACTTCTATATTTGGTTCACAATAGACCCTAATGACAGAAGATTATTTACTAGTTCGAATTAAATGTCTAATAAAGAAGAAATGTTAGATTGAAGTAAAAGCTGTGGAGAAGCAAGGAATATGAATATCGGACAAAAATGAAAAAGTGCCGATTTTGATTTGTTAAATGCGAAGATGTGAAACGTAAAGTTGAATGGGTATTGGATTTGCAAGAGTTTGAAAATATTGGTTGTCACGGTGGTGCGCGTGGGCCACGGTGTGTGTGTCTTTTTGTGTGCTATTTCATGTTCTCCCACTCACTAATTAATTTTTATTTTTATTTATTTATTTATTTATTTATTTTTGGTACAAGAAAGGGAAGCAAGCCTACAAAAAATTATTTTAGGACCTTCCAAGGATAGGACATGCCGATCATATCGTGATTTAAGCATATGCCCGCCCTCGGAGGGGGTGTACTCCAACCTATGAAGACCACACGGATCCTTCGCCGCTAAAGAAACCAAATAGTCCGCAACAAAGTTGGCTTCACGATATCTATGAATAACCTCCACCGATCAGTGACGACCCAGAAGTTCCTGAATCCCCTTCAAAATGCTCCCATGCGGCCCACTGTAGGTACCATCCTGTACCATATCAATGATGTCTGGTTGTCGAGCTCCACTTTAATTTTTCGGGCTCCAATATCATACGCCAACTGTAGCCCCTGAAACAACTAATTTTGCACCGATAATTGAGCATAATACGATGTTCATCAAGAAACCACGCACCCAATTCCCAGGGTGGCCCTGAATGACACCTCCTTCGCTCGCCATCTCCGTCGCAAGAACAAAACTGCCATCTGTATTGACTTTTAGCTCGTCTTCCGTGGGGAGAGACCAAGAAATCCAATGAGTTTCACGCACTCCACAAGTTCCTACTTTAGTGCTGCCGGCCAGTGCACCGCGCACCTTTTCCACATAGGAAACTACCTCGCCAACCCGTTGGGACATGGTCGTGTCAGTCCCTTGGAATAATTTTAAATTCTGCCACCGCCATAAGCGCCAATCTGTGAGCCCAAATAAGGATTCCCAGTTTTTCATTGCCGAGATGAAACCACCAGATAAATTAGCCAGGAACCAATCTCTAAGATCCAGCGAAAAAACATTCCACTGAGTGTTAGGAACTAACTTCTTTCGGGTTTGGGTCGCCGCAGGACAATCTCGTAAGGCATGGAGCGTTGATTCACAGTCCCTCAAACAGAGTATACACGTATAGCTCAAAGCCATGTGTCGACGTTGTCGATTTGCATTAATTAATAAGCTATCCCGAACTGCTAGACAAAAGAAGTGGCAGACCCTCTGAGGACCCTCCACCAGACTGCTTTACATAAACTCGCTCTGTGGTGCCCCGATGACGGTAATAATGCTGAGTAAGCGGAGTTTGTAAAGAACTTCCTGTCCGCCGACAGCCCCAATACAAGTGGTCCTCCCCTCCATTCACCTGTGGCAACATAGACGCAGATATCCGAAGCAGACTTGTGACCGGTAGCAGGTCTTGAAACAACGGCCAATTCCATCCACCTTCGGACGTGATAAACGCCGACACTGGCGCATAAAGCATAGATTCAGGCACCGGGCTCGTCACCTTCTTTATCAATGAAACCTCACAGTGTAACCACCTATCCCACCAAAACCGAGCCATATGGCCATTCCCTATGGACCATGTACTACCCGCAAGTGTCACCTACCATACATCGCGAAGGGAACGGAGCACCATTGAGCCTTGGGGAAATTCAGAATCCTTCCCCATCGCCATTGGCTCCAGCTTGTACTTAACCCGAAGCACTCGACACCAAAGTAAGTTTGGCTCTTTTATAAAAGTTCAGGCCAACTTCATAAGTAAGGCGGTTCATCAGCCTTTGGTCTTTCATCGCTAGCCCGCCATCCATATTTGGCCCGTATACTTCTGACCAGGACACTAGATTGATTTTCCGAGATGAGTCTGTGCCGCCCTAAATAAAATTTCTACATTTTCGTTCCAAGCTTTCACACACCCCATACGGTAACGAGGCAGTTTGCATGAAGAATTAAGACAAAGAGCTCAAGGTCGACTGATCAAGGATCACCCTACCAGCCATGGAGAGCGTCGAAGCTTTCCAGCCTGCCAGCCGTTTCTCCGGTTTTTCCAAAATCTCAATATACGTCGACTTGTTCGCTCTACTATGGATGATAGGCATTCCCAAATACTTCATGACATTCTCAACTACCAGAAACCCCAATCGTTGTGCCATCGAGAGACAGTACGCATTCACAGTATTGGAGGAAAAAATAAATTGTGTCTTTGGCCACTCACTTTTAATCCAGAGGCCTCACAAAAATTATTTAGGATAGCCTTCAAACCATCCGCCTGGGCAAGGTTCACCTCTATAAATAAAAGCAAATCGTCAGTAAACATTAAATAAGGAACCGAGACCTCCCCTCTCCCTACCGTGATCGGTGTCCAACCTCCAAGCGCCATAGAGTCGTCGATCATATGGGTCAATCTTTCTATACATAAGATAAATAAATAAGGTGAAATCGGGTCACCCTGACGAACTCCTCTGGATGGAATAAATTCCTTGCTAACACCACCGTTTCATTGCAACTGCGTAGTTGGCGACGTGACACATGCCATAACGGCATCCACAAAAATACCCGGAAAACCAGCAAGCTCCAAAGATTCCCGAATAAAATCCCAGCGAAGGTAGTCATAGGCCTTTTCCAAATCCACCTTTACCACCATAAATCCTCTCTTCCCTTTCATCCTACGCATCGAATGTATGAGCTCCTGAGCAATGACAATATTATCAGTAATATGCCGACCCAGGACAAAACTCGCGTGAGTCGGATTGATAATTAAAGAAAGTACAAACTTCATCCTCTCCATTAGAACCTTTGTCATCAACTTATAAACAACATTAAGGAGACTGATGGGCCTGAATTGTTTCAACGTCACCGGGTTGGCCACCTTCGAGATTAGCACAAGCAGGGTTTTATTTAATGCAGACGGGACCATACCTCCTCTCCAAATATCCCTAAGTTGGGCACAAACCGAAGGGCCAACATATTGCCATCTCTGCTGAAAAAACAAAGCATGCAATCCATCGAGTCCAGGGACTTTTAGTGGTGCCATTTTCTGCAAGGCTCGAAAGATCTCCATGTCGGAAATATTGCGCCTCATATCCCCCAGTCGGCTACTCTCCACTGTCGGATATGTGTCCCTAATTTGAAATCCGATTGAAGTCCCCGTCGTAGCCGTGTAAATATTTTTGAAAAAATCAACGGCCATTCGTCTCAAAACTTCAGGATCATCTACTATCCTATCAGCCTCATCTTTGAGCAAAACGATTTTATTTGTTTGTCGACGATGTTTGACTAGCCGGTGGTAAAAGGCGGTATTTCTATCTCTAAATAAAATCCAATCCCGTTGGGACTTCTGGAGCATCAGTAACTCTTTCTGTAAAAGAACAATATCATTAAGAGGGTAATAATAGTTTATAAGTGTCTATTAAAAGAAAATCATCTCAATATAAAACTCGACTATAAAGTTAATGCAATATTCACATTTTAATATTATTATTAACTATGCAATTTATAATATATTAAATATTTATTTTTTTATACTTGCAATTATTTATACATGCGTCTAGCTAAATTATTCAAGCCGAGTACTTCATGTTCAAACTCATGCTAATTTAATAAACGAGTTAACGTAGAAGAACTCATTTATAAACCAAAAGAAAAAAAAAAAGTGAGCTCGAGTTCTGTTTTTATAAGCTCGGTTCGACTCATTTAAATCTTAATCTGGATCAAAATTTAATACTCTAACATAATTTATCGTGAACACGTTTGACTCAACTTATTTGATAGACAATCTCGATTTATTGTTCAAACTTAATTTTTTTAAATATACAAACGAGTCAAACTTAAGCTTTTCACAATTTCAGCCGAGCTCTATTAATAAACAATTCAATTCGAATAACGGATGAAAGTTTTACAATCAGGGTGAAATTTTTTTTCTAACTAGCGTCCCTATACAGATTTTATGGTTTACATTATTAAATTATTGGGTGCATTCTTCCCCGTAAACTATAAAGTCTATATAATCTTATCTTATATTCCCCCACAAAGGAATATAAACCAAAGATTCAATCACGTGACTTGGCTCTTGTTCCCTTTCTACGAAATCATTGTTGTCTTGTTGACTATGGACTTCAACTTTGTATCTTTTCAATGTACAGCATATATGTTAATTATTTTACATGTAAATTATAAAACCAGTGTACTCCGATTAAAGCCTTAAAAATTAATTCTAAAATAAGATTGTCTTGAAGCATTTTAGTCTTGTTAGTCTCGACCTAATTATGTCCTCCATCGCATAATGCATCTATCTTATTTTTTTTTGACCAAATACTACCAGTAGTGCGCACAAATTCTAAAGTTACCAAGGACGTTTAATCAATGTTCGATAAGACCTATATATTTGTATTCATTAAATATAACTCACAAATGCTACCAGTTTTTATTTTTCATTTTTTATTTCACTTCGATATCAATTTAAAGAAGTGTAAATAATTGTCACCAACTTTACAATTCGATTTCACTCCACCAAATTCCAATTAATTATAACGTATTGCACATGTAGGACCACAATTTCATTTATAAGTTAGACTATAATAAATAAGAAAAAAATTATTATGAACCACATTCACCTAGTAAGATGCACATTATTGAATATATATATATATTTATATATATGAGGCAGATCAAATGGGATCAGCTTTTAAAATGGGACCAACTCTTAAAATGGGACCAGCTCTTAGCAACTACAGACAACAACTAACCTAGCTGCTACTAACCTAACAACTACAGAGAACTAACCTAGCAACTACTAACTTAGCAACTACAGAGAACTAACCTGGCAGCAAGAAAGAAATAACCTAGCAACAAAAGACAACTAACCTAGCAGCATCAGACAACTAACCTAACAGCAAGAAAGAACTAACCTAGTAACAAAAGACAACCAACCTAGCAGCAAGAAAGAAATAACCTAGCAAATTAAGACAACTAACCTAGCAACAAAACTCAACTAACCTAGCAGCTACAATTAACTAACCTAGCAACAACAGACAACTAACCTTGCAACAAAAGACAACTAACCTAGCAGAAAAAAAGGAACAACCTATCAACAAAAGACAACTA